TTTTGTGAGTGACACTTGGAGATCACCCACCAAGAGTAATTTATATCACTCTGTAAAAACTCCAACTTCTACCAACTATCAGAGTGCAGAGCTGCAAGTCGATTTCAGAAAATCATCAACCAGACCAAGGAAAAAATGAGCTATTAAAAAACCAAACAAGTACATTTTATAAATCAGAGATTATCTTGGTTTGTCTCCAGTTAAATAATGCTAGATTATTTACCAGTACACATGTTAGTTTTTGTACTCTCATTGTTCCCATCATTGGTAATTGTGCCTAACTAGTTACATTTCTTCAAGTCCTGTTACAGCTGAAAACACAGATGACTTGCTGTTTGTTTCCATGAACATTTCATTCTTCTTTCTTTTAAAAGTAAAATTAGCTATCACCTGATGCTTGTATGATGTCCCATTATGAAATTCACTCTAGGGTAAATTCTCTGTTATTGGAAGCATCTTTCCTTTTTCACAACTGCATGTAATCCTTTCCTACCCACAAGCATGCTCTTTGAATCACACCCAAAGCTGAAGCTGCACATGCAACTCTTTACTAAAATGTCAGCAACCAGGTTATGTGTACAGGATCTGCTAGTTTGAAACATAAATTAACATCCCACCAAGTTTTAAATGATTCCTCATCTTTAGGGCCAGACTTTCTTCTGTTACCCTTCCATTGTTTAACTCGTGGTCTTACTAAGAAACCACAAACTACAGAGAATACATTACTCAGACAGAGAAGCATCCTGGTGGTTTCAACACACTGGCAAGAATTCTAAAAAAATCAAGGTGGTTTCAAAACGACCTACAAGTGAACTGCAAGTGGTTGCATATCCAGCAGATACATGGCAAGCAGATTAAAGCCAGACAGCTGAAACTACTCTGTCCCTACCTCTGTCCCTCTCACCCTCCTCAAGGACAGCATATGATCATCTATAAATGAACTACCACCTAAACCAAGGGTTTTTCAGCCTGGTACATAGGCCATGGCCCCATTCAATTCAGTGCTACAACAATATTGTTCTTTTGCCTGCCAGTGTTCTACAGCTGGCATGGAGCAGGTCTGGTTTTAGGAGCTAGCTTAGAAAGCCTACCTTCACCATTTAAAATGCACATGAGAGAAAGAAAGAATGTCCCACTGTTTACTAAAAAAATAAATGAACAGTTTCAACTAAAATCCAATTGTTTTCCTACAACTACTCTTGAGTTGACAAAAACACGTTTAACTTTTACTGCTTTTAGAGAATGAAAAGTTCTATCATTTCCAGTTGTAGGAAACTGTTGACTCACCATAATTTCAACCCCATTACATTTAAGAACATGTTTCAATAAAAATGCCTATTCAGTAATTTTCACACTTCATTCTGCAGTTTTCTGTATGAGCTGTAAAACTTTCAATTAGTTGGTCAAACCTAGATGGTAAAATCTTAATTCTGAAGAGCCATCCAAAGATCACAGTTGATAAAGATTGCAAACTATTGTGAAAAGAAAGAACAGCTTCTCAACTTAGACATGTTCCCATGGCTAAACTGTGTGATTTCAAGTGGCACACCCAGAAACTTGCACATTTTTTTAATATACCTTTCCATGCTTCCAGCTTTTTGAAATTAAAGAGAATTACCAACATAAAATGCACTAATTAGATCCATGGATATAGTCCACCATCAGAACACACAGGATTTGTTCACTCCAATAATACTTCATTTTCAACAGCTCCAAGATGTAGAGGGACACAAGAACAAGTTTGCTGTTATTCTGTTTAACAGGACTCGTTAAAAGTTCCCACCTCTGGAAAGCACATGTGTCTGACCAAAGATACCTGTCCATCAAGATCTAGTGTCTTCTGCTTAAACATTAAAGAAGTTACCCCTCTATGCCGAGCAAGGGAAAGGCGGGGGAGTTACCGATTGGCTGAACCAGAGCCCTCCAGGTCACCTTTGCTCCTCCTTCCTCTCAGGTCTCACCAAAACCCGAGAGCATCCGCTCTTACTGCTGACCAGGGCAGCACCTCAGCACTGGGAGCTCTCAAAGGACTAGAAGGAGGCTCAAAAGGATTCACCAATTCTAGAGTCAGCTTCACCAGCACCTTCTCTAAGCTTAATACTTGCCACCAATCCACGAGCGGCAGTAAAACACCCCCTTCTTGGGTCTGTTACAGAGTTGCAACTTCTGGAGGATGATGAAGTTGAGTGCTAAGATGGAAGAGCAAGCACACAGCTCCTGCTTCCTGTCTCTGAAACTTGGGAAATTCAGGTATTGTCTTCACACACAGTTGGAAAAGAACATGGGATCAACACAAAGACCCTCTGCTAGCCCGCAAAGGCTTTGCTGTAGGAGCAAGAGGCAATACCCACAACTCTGGCGGGACGACAGACAGACAGACACCACATCTCGCTTTGGAGGACAGCGACTTCAAGACAGCCTTGATGACCCACCCGCTACCCCCAGGAGCTTCCCACCTGTTTGCTCAGTGACCTCTTCCCTACGGCTCCCAGCACCCCGAGAAGCCCCCAGAGGCATAAAATCTCCCCTCCTGTAGCATCAATTCCAAACCCAGTCTTCCTCCTCCTATCCCGGAGCCCTCCACAGAGCGGCGGCTCCACAGCGCTTCGCTTTCCACGCCAGCCCCCAGCGTCTTCCCTCAGCTTCTTCCCTCCTTTCAAAGCCAACCCGCGCTCTTTCCACACACGCAAGGGACGCAAACAGAAATAATAGTAATAACAACAAAACACGAGTAGCAAAACCCACGAACAACAAGGTGCAGCCCCACAACTTACCACCCAAGTCAGTCCCCCGCTGCCGCCGCCGCCTCCTCCTCCTCCTCCTCCAGACTTTGCCATTTTCTGCCCGTCTCTCCTCAGCCGAGGCGAGGGCGCTCGGAGGCGGCCGCGAGGGCCGGCACCGACACCGCGCCTGGGGCCGCTCCGCGCCCGCCCTTCGCGCCTCTCCCGCCCTCACCGGAGCCCCGGCACCGAGGAAGGGCGGCCGAGGGGCCCGCACAAAGCGCCCCTTCCGCCGGCGGGGAGGCAGCGAGAGGGAGGGAGGGCCCGGCCGGGCCTGCGGCTCTCGCTAGTTTAAAGGGACGACGGGCCGGTCCCTTCGCCTCGCGGCGGCAGCGGCGGCAACAACAGCCACCGCTATCGCCGCCGTAGCGCTGCCGCCTCCCGCCCTCCTCCTCACCCCCGGGCCGTCCCCCCCCCCCCGCAGCCACAAAGGCCCGGAAAACAGATTAATAATAAAAAAATCTCCCCCTCCCTCCCGCCTCCCTCGTCCCCTCCCTCCCTCGTTCACTCCCTCCCTTCCCGCCCCTCGCGCGCGCGCACGCTCCCGCGCAGACCCGCGCCCCCCGCACACACGCACACCCGGGGCTGGCCCGGCCCCCTCCTTCTTCCCCTCCTCTTTCCTCCCCGCGTCCCGGCGCCGCTCCCCCGCCGTCGCCTCCTCCCTCTCCTCTCCCCACACAAGCCCCGAAGAGCTGCCGCCGCCGGGACACCGCGCGTAGACAATAAATAACCGCGCCGGCCCCGCTCGGCGTCCGCGCCGCGGCCGCTTCTCCCCGCGCAGCCGGCCCGGGCCTCTTCTCCCCCCGCGCCTTCTGCCCGCCAATCACGGGCCAGCCCGCCAATCGCGCGCTGGAGGCGGGAAGGCTGTGCGGGGCGCCGGCCAATCCGAGAAGCCAGAAGGAGCGGCCGCGTGTGACGTCATCGAGGGTGGCAACAGGGCGCGAAGGGGCCGCACGGGGGCGCTGCGGCGCTCGCGGGGGGCGGCGCTCGCGGAGGCGGAGCGGTTGGATCGGGATAGGGACGGGGATGGGGATAGGGACGGGGATGGGGCGGCTGGATCGAGATAGGGACCTCGGCGAAGCAACGCCCAGCTGCCGGGTCAGCGACGGGCTCCCTCAGCCCATCTTCCCGCTCTGCGACGCCGGGCAGGAAGATGCTTCCCCTTCCCGTGACCGCTCGGGGGAATTGGTGTGGGCACTGGCAGAGCACGGCTGTCCCGTTTCCCTAGTGCTCCGGGTGGATGATGCTGCGATGCGGGGCGGAGAAGAGGTGATGCGGTAGGTGGGCCGGGTGTTCGGGGGCACGCCGGCCCCGTAACTGGTCCCTGCAAGTGCCACCGCTGTGACCTGCGGCGGTACCAGAAGGGTGGAAGTCCCAGGGCTCCAGGCAGGAGAGTGTTTACAATCCACTGCCCTCTTCTGGGCTCTGGGGATCACCCGAGGAGCGCTTTAACTCGGACAGCTCCCAGACCTTCATCCTACATTTGAGCATCGCCGTGTGAAGTCTCATAGAGGTCACACAGCACAGCACCCCGCTCTGTACACAGCAAGCATCCCTGTGTAGTACAACCGTATTTGCCGTTTTGAAAAAAATGCTGTGGCCAAAAAACATCTATTTCCTAGGTCTAACTGGTGTGTACAAAGCCCAAAATTCATGTCATTTTAGGTATCAGCACAAAAAATATGTACAGTTTTACATACTTTGCACCAAATGTATATATATACTTATACATGTATAACTCTAAATATTATAATCAGATTTTGTGACAATGCTTCAACACACACAGCTTCTCAATCAGCAATTTTCATTCTGCTGCGTGAAATGCAAAGGACCTACCTAGTCCAGCCTGTTCCACTCCTTGAATTATTAAGAATGTAAAGTCTCAAAAGGAGGCATCAGTAGGAGCACTGCATCTGAACTAGCAGACAAATCAGGGAACCATTTCAAAGGAAGAGCAATAATTTAAAGGTTTTTCCTTTTGCAAAATGCTTTTCCTAAGGAGTAAAGGGATTGGAAATGGAGCAGCCACTTTTGAGGAGTCAGTAGTAATGTTCAATTATGCCTCAAGGGAAGGATCAGAAGAATTTCTAGTAAATATTGCTTATTTAGCATAATTTTACTCTGCCAGTTTCTAAGGAAGCTATTAAACTAATATCTAAGTGCTGCATAGGGATTATGGAAAATAATGGCATCTGCCAGAAGGGACAGTAAGTTATCTGTTCCAGCCTAGTTGCCAGCAGCTGCATGTACCTCTGAGCTGTAGGCTGTGTTTTCTTCTACTTTCGCAAGATAAAGAGTGTGTCTTGCAGAACCACAAGGTAACCCTTGCAGGGTTGTGCCTAGTGCTTCAGAATTTTGAGCTTGCTGATTAGAACCGTGTTGATTTTTTTTTCCCAAAATCTCAAATTTATGTGTAGGACCCATTAAAATGAATCATGTACAGGAAACTTCTGCAATGAATATTGTGTGGATCAGTGGAAACAGAAGGAATACATCTATTCAAAGGTTTTTACATCGGTAGAGAACCATTACTGTATTCAGCAGAAAAAGAGCAAGTCCCAAACATTAGTGTATTATGTTTTCATGAGCTCCAGTTGTTTAGTAAATATGCAGTCCTTACTGTGGGAAGCGTGTCTTTTGCCATGTGAGCCAAGCAGAAGATAGCAATCTAACTTGAAGGCAGCCAATTCCATATATATCAGAGAGAGGCAGAGGGAGTTTCTTCTTGGCAGTTACTGGCCTTTGAGCGTGCATGGTCAGACATGTTCAGTCTGTGTCACACAGAGCAGATTTATGAGGAAATGCTGATGTTCCCTCAAGCATTTTCTTTAGTCTTTAAAATTACTTCATCCAGGTTGGATTTTCTTTAATTCTCATCCTATGCTACACTAGCTGCACAGCATGTTACTGGCTTATTGTTGAAGTTGGTTTTGTCCCTAATACTTACATGTGTATGCTGAGTGGTTACATTGCTAGTCATGTAGGATTGTGGGACAAAGTTCTCAAGAGAATAAAAGCAGCTGCTTCAGTGGGCTGCAGAGGTGAAGCAGTGAAATGAGATTGCTCTTCATATTTTAAGAGATCCCTGTTAAAACAAACATAGAAGTAGATTTGAGCATGAATCAAATTCAAGTGCCATAACATTTTGATGGGAGTGGAATTACTTTACTAGATGCAACCTGTCCGAATCATGCACTACCAGTTCCTGTCAAATACTTCACACTTACTGTGTGACATTTTAAATTAATAATCCCCTTGAGATAGTACACACAAAGTCCTATTTCAATTCACTGGAGATTTACTTGTCCTCATAGTTGTACACCATAACATAACATAAATAGAAGTACCCTCGAGGCTTTCAAAACAATGATGTACTTAAACCAGTTTCACTACTGCTTTTAGTAAGCAAAATATTTATTGTAATACTACTTTGTGTTCAATCATTTTAGCAGTAAGGCAGCAATATGTATGATCTTTAAGCCTTTCTATACTTGGTATGTACAAACTTCCCATCTGTTGTAAGTTATTTGCTGCTTCTAGTTTACTACTATCTAATAAAACCTTTTCTTTCTATGTGGCTTTTCTGGACTCAGATTTAAAGGGCCTAAAATGTGACTATTTGTGAAACTATGTACATTTATCTAATCTGTGAACATACTCAGATACAAGCACTTACTTAAATAATCGACCACAGCTCTCCTTTTTCTGCAAACTACACAGGAAAAAGCATAATTTTGTGCTAAAATATTTATGAAACTAAGTTGATGCCCATTACATTATACATTCCACATTGTATGTAGTTGTAATGAGGTATAAACAAACATTGCATATTTTAATACTAAATATCTACACTCGCAATAAAATAATTTTCATATTCTACTGCATTTTTAAATTTCATTATAATCCATTAACATAATTTTGAAATAATTGACCAAATTATTGAATAGGGTTGTGGCAGTACAATATGAGAGTGACTAACATACTTGTACCGTGTTGATTGTGGATGACCTTCAGGCCACAGTTCCAAAGTATTTAAGAGAAGTCTACCCATGGCTGGATCACCTAATGATATGAATTTAGCCAGGTCACGTGTTCTTACTCAATTGCATCTCAAACACCTTTGTTGAGTTAGCAAGAGACCACACTAGTGGTTTTCTGTGGGCGTGCACTGTCAATGCACTGCCCAACACTCTCAGCTGAACTGTGCCCAGGACTGACACACCTGATGTATCCATAGCACTTTTGTTAGTAGCTGTTCCTGGGGCCAGGCTGTTCCACAACCAGTCTCTTCAAAAACATCAGGTCATTTCCATCTTAATCCTCCAGAAACAATGTCCCACGTGTGACAGTTTGACGGAGGGTTCAGATGGCTTAAACCCTGTTTACCCTCCAATTCTTCCTCTGGTGACTAACCTGTTAAGTGCTGTGCTGTTGGCAGAGGTGTGGAAAACTCCAGTGGGGCATGCTGTGAATGCTACTGCCAGGTTGTTGCTGGGGAAGAGGTCCAGCAGAATCCCCAGGGTTAGCTCCAGGGACCTCTGGGCTCCATCCTGGACTGCCCATTGCATGGCTGGGACTGCTGCACTGACCTAGCTGAGCTCCTCCTGGGTGGCACCACCTCCCTGCTGCAGGAGAGGCAGGCTGGGGGAGAGACCATCGCACTGACGTGCTTGGCCTCTCGCCTGAGCTGCACAGTCTCTCACACAGAACAGGGAAGTTGAGTCACTTGTAAACTTTAAATATTTATCTGTGACTAGAAGGGCTTTAGTATCCTAGCCCACCCAGTCTCCTCACTGTCAGCTCAGTCTTAAATTGTGACACACTTTCACTGAGCAGTATAAACAAAGCTGTTGTTTCGGCAGAGGCTGGTCATAGAAATTAAATATATTTGTATCAAAATTCTATGTATAGGACAAAGCTCCCTTGTGCAGTCACCACACACAGCAAGAGAAGTCGCATGCAGAGGTGAAGCAGGGGAAGCTGAGCTGGTCATACTGGGAGGAATTCTCAACATGAGTAGAATTACTATCCATGCTATTAACACTGAGTCTTTTAGAGGAGTTGGTGGCAGTTGGAAAAGATGCAAATGCCTGGACGGACAAAACCAATGGAAAAAACCACAGAATGGAGAAGGTGATGTCTTTTGAGGTCTGTGCTGAACATACATGAGAGAGCAGTGGCCATCTCAGCAGTTATACTGAGCTGAGAGGAGATTGCTGTGATTTGGAGGCTGGAATCACCAACTGCATTATGGCACTGTTAATCAGTGTGGAGAATGTAAACAGACAGCAAGGTTTGGGCATGCCATGCCATTCAGAAAGGCACTCCCTTGAGCTCAGGGTGATGAATACTGCAAAGCATGCTAGGCTTTCCTTGTGAAGCTTTTCTGATATTAGCCACATATTCCTTTCTTACTGTCCCTCTATCCCAGCCCATCTGTAAAGGAGCTCTCTCTTTCCAAAGCAGAATTTTCTTTGGACTAAAAAATACAAGTTTTTTCCTAGCAGTTCACCCAAACAAGACTGTTTGGGCAAGAATATGTGAGTGGCAATTCATTTTTACCCAGCAAGACTCTTCTGGCCCATTACTAGTATATTTCTCCAGTCTCCCAGACAGAAATCCATTGTAGATTTTGAGTGAGTATCAAGACTGCTTCCTAATAGCAGAAGGTCATGTCTAGTCACTCCTTGAATGACAGGAAGGTGAAGGAGTTTTTTCTATACAAGGCACATGTGGACATGTTGAATCTGTGGGGAAAAGTGATGAGTGATGTGGACAGCAAAGAAGCCCACTATTCTGAGAAATGTCTAAAGAAATGGTACTTTGCTCTCTTGAGCTAAAATTCAACCACCTCTGACACATAATGTTTTGACTTATTATGAGGAGGAAATAGAAAGGGCAATTCTGTACAGCTTTATAGTATCACCAGTTTTGACTAGAATCAATGATGACTAGGTCAGGGTATGCATTTCCATTCCCTTTCTCAGAAGGGAGTTGTGTGGTTCTTGTGGTAACCCAAAATGAGAAAAGTCTCAAGAAAGACCCAAGAGAGGCAGATGGCTCAATCTCCACCAAGGCAGAACATGTAACTGAAGTGTGGCCAGTGTACCCATGTAGTTTATGCTAAGGTCAAAGGGAAAAAGAGAAGGAGGCCACAAGTTTTGGAATACTTGAACAAATGAATGTCTGAGGGAAAGAGCAACAAAAGAGTTGGGTGAATGACCTGTGAACATCCTTCTGAAAGAGCAGTAGGGTAGGGACACATGAGCTAACGATACACCTGAGCACAAAAGTGGGGAAGACAAGAAGTAGTAACTAACAAAAAGAAAAGTCAGGGATTACTATGAAGGGTCCAGTCAGGCACAGAATAGCAGAACCACAGACAGACAGTTTGCACATACCGATCCAACAAATTAATGAAGAAACCCTCAGAGTAAATTTGTACTGGCAGCTTAAATTTAGACTGACATAATGCTTTGAATTACTGGACCATGGTGGTTTTGATTTGGTACTAGATGGCCTAAAATCTGAATTACTCTTTTACAGCCCACAGCATAGGGAATGCGCTCACCATGTTCTTCTGACAATTACAAGACAGTTTAGAAAAGGAAGCTTATACAATAATACTGTTTTGTGAGTATTCTTTTCTAGATGACTTGTTATTTTTTCCAGTAACCTGTTCACTAATAATTCTCTTTGCTTTAATGCTGTTTCAGATTACCTATGTCATCAGACTAAGACTTTTGAGAATTGATTTTTCAGAAGTCTTTGAGAAAGTAATTACAAAACTAAGATGTATGCTTCAACTAAAAATATAAAGGGTATAGCAAAACAGGTACAATGTGGCCAAGACTCAGCCTCCCATTTAATGATAAACATTATCTGAATTTACAACTCCCTAAAAATTACTAGTTATAGATCAGCTATTCAACAGTTTCTCAGGTGGCCTCATTTATAACAAGGCTCAGCAGCAGCAGTTCCTATTTATTTCAGTAGGAGTTGTGTAATTCAACAGCTTGGGTGATTGGGCAAGCAGTATTTTAAAATGGTCACTGCTAGCTGCTTCATGCACTTTTCTATTTTCTCTAGGTGTTATTATTATTAAGCAAAGGAGATCAGAAATTCATAAAAAAATCTTTTGTTATCCCTTTAGATCCTTTAATGCATTGGTATTTCTGGGTCTTGAATGCTTCTCTCCCAGTACCATGCAGCTGTCCTCCATGATTTTTTTCAATAGTGGTATTTCTGCTTAGCATTTTAGTCTTGCTGTATTTGCTAGGAGAATGGGTAAATAAAGCACCAAATGCAACACATTAAATATGATTTTATGTTTAGGTTATGGTCTCCTGTTCTATTTTTACCCAATTAACACTGCTTAAATTCTCTTCCCACTACATACCTTGCATTGCTCCAATCAGCTCTGCAGATTTTTCCTGCTCCTTAGTGCACTCCTGTTTTTCTTAGAGAAATGTAGGAACACATTACCTCAGTTTTCAGATAAAGTAAAATCATCCAGATTAGTGGTTCTTATATGCCTCTTGCTCACTATGACCATAGCCACTGCTGGTAGAGGTAGCAGAAGTTGCAGCAGCAACAGCTTTCAGTACTGGCCAGGACAATGCATTTGACTGCTTAGGCATCATTTAGCCAGCACTTAGCCATATTTTTATTAGAATCTGGGAATCTCAGTCTAGGTTTTCAGTCCAGCATGGTTTCCAAAAGCATCTTTCCATTTCTAAGCACCTCAGAAAGCTGCATCCTGTTCACAGCATTTTTTCTTTGATTTAGGATTCCTGGCTGTCACCTGTGGAGAAGGAAAACAGTCTTTTGAATGACTTTGAATATATGTGCTTTAGTAATTTGTGAATTCACTTTAATGTTCTTGAAAAAAATTTTTATCTACAGGATGTGTTAAAAGTAACTTGCTTTGATATACATATACCTGTGGGGGTTTTTAACCTAAACAATATGGATGCTGTAATCCTCTTTATTTTATCTATTTCTTTTTGAAATCTACTGTGGATTTAACTTGCAGAACAGTAAAGAAAAATGTTTTTCATCAATGCAGTTTTTTTACAATATTCCTTCATTTCTTGCAAACACCAAGCAAAGAAAAGGTACTGTATGTTTTTACCTTACTGACAGACCTAAGTGTCAAAAAAGGCAGCATATCTATTTTTGCAACAGATCTGTTAACTGTTATACTATAATCACATTCTTCATTTTTTTAAAAATAATTTTGCAAGGAACAACTTAGTGATACCCCGTGTTCCTAGATAACAGCTAGAGAGAACACATTTCCTGTACTGTGCCTCATAGGAAGCTCATGTCAAAGTTTTACCATCATGCTATAGAACCATAATAACAACTCACCTTCCTTTTCATTTAGTTGGTTTTTACTGAGCTTTGTTATTCCACATATGCTCTTCTGCTGGAAACTTTTATTGCAGAAAGCCTTTGAAGAGTGGGAAGCTCTGAAGCTCTTGAAATTTATCTGAAAGTAATATGGTTCCTTTTACCTTGGTTTTTACTGCTGCTCACATTCTTCTATTTCCAGGTAAAAAGTACAATGAATTCGTCAGGTTTCCATGAAAAGGCAATACACATTACCCAGAAATTTCAACATAGTATCAGTTTCCATCCCATTCAACATTTTCCTTTTTCTAACTTGTCTTAAATTAGAAAATGGAGTTTATGTATCAATGTATTTTCTAGCAGATTTGAAATTATTTGACACTAATCATGTAAGAATCCCATTTACTTTGGAATACTTTACTTTCAGTACTAATGTTAGTTCTTTGGGAAAAGACAGATATATTATTACACATTCTTTTCTGTTCTGTACCCTTTGAGACACATTGGACACTACTGAAACATGACATTTTTCTGCTGAGATAATTTCTCTTGTGACTCATGATAAGAAGCATGGAAGCTCCTTTTTTTACTTTACATCTTACAGTTAGATTATTATAAAGTCATTTTTTAGTTCTCATGCATGAGAATTCCACTGGTTTGCTAACCTGTTGTTTTTTCAATTGCTCATTTTCTATCATTTCTCCCAAAATATGTTGGACTCAGTTCTCTGGGATATAAGTAATGATGATGAAAGAGCACACTGGCAAAAAGGCTGAAAACACAATGAAATTACTTGAAGTCATAGAATACCTAAAGTTTAAGAAATCAATTGCGTATGTATGGTTTTTTGCAACATTTAATTCTCAAATTAAATGAATTAAATAAAGCTTTCCTCAGCTCTCTAATCAAACAATCCATTCTCCCAAATAATTAAAGGTATTAATTTTGAGTTGCTGTGCAGAATTGAAGAGAATTCAGAGCAAGCAATGGTTTCTTTCCTGATGGTTGTTGCTGAAGTACAGCAAAGCCTGAGCCACAGCAGCTCTTTGATTAAAGACAGAGCACAGTCATGGGCCATAGAGGCAGGCACATGAACCAACCCATGGGAACGTAGCACAAGATGCAGCACTCACACATAATCCATGGCACATGCTTCGCCTCTGAGTTGCTTCACCAAACCAGCATGACTGCTTTTAGCCACAAAGCCAAACATCTCCTTAGCCAGGCACAGCACACAGCGCTCCCAAGCTGCCTGGCACAACAGACATTCTCCCAGCGGAGCGTGCATGTGGAACACGGCACTCCCTCCCACTCCTGCTCCATGTGGAACATGGCACTCCCTCCCACTCCTGCTCCATGCTTCAGTCTGCCCTGCTCATTTATGATCACTCCTCTGTGCTTCACAAACAGGAAGATTGCAGTACCTGTCATCTCACCCTTGACCTATGCTACTCCCATGCTGTACATGGTGGGGCATCCCACGATCCCTCAGGCTGATGCTCCCTCCAGGGTTGTTACCTATGCCATGGGCATGGTGGCTTAACAGGTTCTGTAACAGACTAGCAGGGGCATGCAAATAAAATAGGTGAAACTACTTTTTCAGTTCCTTCCAAATGAATTAACATGTTAATGGGGTGAATGCTATGCTTTGCATTTCCACTCCTACAGGTCTTTGCATATTTATAGAAAGCAATAGTTAATCTTCCAAAAAGACATGAAATAAAAATATTGTTCTCAATTCAGCATTTGTTTGGGTTATTCTCTGGAGTTAAATTGAATATATAACAGCATTCATAGCCTTACAACAGACATCTGTAGCACAGCATGCAAACTTAATGTATAGTCAGTCGTTTATTCAGTTCTTTGAATTTCCATGCCAATTCCTTAATGCAGTAAAATCTGCTTATTTAATTTGGTTAGGATCCTCATTGCCCTTTTGAATTATATACACAGACATACTAAAACACCAGGTTGTAGTGTTGGTCCTAAAACCCTTCCCTTAAAATGGCTGCTGCTTCACTTTCCCCTGCTATGTGGGCCCTACACCACCTCTCAGGTTCCTGGAGGACAGTGGGTCTCCAAATGAGAAGAAAGGCCTATGTACCAGGCCTGCAGCAGGCTACCCTTGGTGGCCAGTAGACTTGCTGGGAACCAGAACAATACTGTGAACAAAGGAAGACACCAAAGAGGGACACATTCCTGGAATGATAAGGGCTGAGGCTTCAGTTGTGCCACGGGGAGTGGGGCAACACTACACAGTGACTCAACACAAAAAGCAGGTAGGAAATAAAATGATAAAAGAGATGAACAAAATCTTCCAACAGTGAAGACTGCGGTAAATTTAGAAAACCACATTCAAGGAACTCCCTCAGCAGGCCATGTTACTGTCATCCTCACAGCTTCTCCCACTGTCCACAAGAGAGGGAACAGCAGCTGTCATAAGCTAGGGGATACATAGAGGTTGTATGGGGCTGGGGTACCAGCCTGTGATACAGCAGGGAAGAGAGAAAAGAACAGAATCCAGGGATGGTGCAGAAGCCTCCAGATGTTACCTATGAGGCACTGGGAAGTTGCCTTGATTGCCACTGCAGGCACTGCTTCAAAGGATTAAAAACCACTAGTTTAGAAAAAGGGAAATGTGGAAGGGCTTTTAAGCGTGAAGACAACAGTGAGGGTTACCCCAGGAGTCAGCTGATATTGCATGTTAAACAAAGGAATCTTCCAAAAGATGGACAAAACATCTGCTTATGTTTCACTGTGGAATCCCTCCATCTCACCACTAATATAGGTAATGCTACTATGTAGTGCTAGTCCTGGTTTTGTCATTCTAATGTGTGTTAAACACAAAATCCACTGACCAGTTCTGCTCATAGATACTCCTGCTCCACCCACAAACACTACATGACTGGAGTGTCCCTTCCATACTTTTTCAATAAAATATTCCCCAGTTATGGATTTAAATTCAATCCTTGGAACAGAATCGGTTCTAGTCAATTTCCACTGAATTGGTTATCACGTGCCAGTAAATCTCATTATCTTTAGAAATGATTTTTTTTTTCCACATCCAAAATCTTTCAGCCACTCTTTCACTGGCATACATGTTGCCTCCATGCTCTGTTCACAGATGGACTTTGTATTTTTCACTGAATACTTACAGAAGATTGAATTTCCTCACACGATTGGTAATCAGTCCAGTATGTGAAATAAAGAAAATCAAAAGTAGAAAAGGTAAATGTATTCTGGCAAGTGTTTCTTAGTCTGTTTCCAATCACAGATTTTATTTCTGTGGGCCAGAAATGCATGTAAGTCTCTGTGTCTTGAGAAAGTTACTCTTATGTTGTGTCTGGCTGAAAGCCGATTTCTTCACATCTTTCTGTCACTCAGGTTTGGGTTTTTTTCCATCAATAAGCTGGTATACAAATATGAATTACTAGCAAGCCTTAAAACATGAAATAAAAGTACAAAATGAAGATGCAGAGCATTTAGTTAGAGTGCATAGTCAAGAAAAATTGAAATGTCTGTTGCACTGAAAATGAACTTCAGGGTTTCACCTTTACTAAAAAAAATCAAATAGACTTATATTTTAAAAATACCACTATCAGACTTTGAAATGTAGAGGAAGAACTGATATGACTAATAATATAACTTATAAAGGCAGATCATGCATAGTACTGACAGTTGGGCAAGAACTTCCTAAGGTTCTGTTTTGAAGGCTCCATGATGATACAAATTTCTTTCAAAAAATATTTGGTTTATTAAAAAAAAGGAAACAATCAGCTTTTCTAAACAATCCCCCAAATGATGAAAATTTGACATTCATTAATCAGCGTTGATATTAACTTTTTTCCATCCTCTAGTGCTAAAATTAAACTGCAGCCTCTAGCACTTCCTGTTTGTGTTCCTACATCCTTAGTGGGGGTGTCTTATTTTTTATTTTGAATGTTTTGTTTCAGGTATTTTTGGGGCAGGGGGAGGGGGGAAATGGGACTGTTTTCTTTGAAACCATTATTGCCAACATCATGGAAATCAGCATACTCAGGCAGAAACTCCAACCTACACAACCTAACAAAAGAAAACACAAATCAAAAGAAATTTTGGGCATGCTTCATAAACCAAACCAGGAAAGCACCACAATTCTTAACGCAGTCCAAAACCAGGCACTTCCTTTTTGGCCAATAAAGTTTTATATCCTTTTTTCCAGTAGTGAACTTTGCTTTTTAATACACCATGCATTTATTTCCCTGGCACTTTGGCTAAAAGTGAAAGCTGCTGCAGCCTATGTTATTTTGACTTCTGATACAACGCAAGCACAGACACACATACATTCCATTACCTTCCATCCTTCTCTTCACAGTGCTAATAATGCAGAGGTGAGAAGTGAGGCTCTCTCCTTCCATTCTGTACTTTGCTGCTCCATTTGCTCTAAGAGACTGTGACCAACTGTTCCACCTACTTTAGCTCGAGTTTGCTTAAACAGTGCTCTCAGATGTCTTCATTCTCTTACATCAGCCAGCTTCCTTATGACTGTTCCACAGGGCAGTCTGTATATTGTGATCCAAACTGCTCATCTAAAGTTAGTCCAGCATTTCCTCTTCATTGCAACAGAGATAAGCTGCTACCTGATGATTTTCAGTGGGGAAAATACATTCCCCTGGGACTTCAAGGACAATACACTATATTACTGAAGTTCCAAGGATACGAAATAACACTCAGAATTATGCAATAAAAGAATCAAGTTAACAGAACATACACTGAAATATCACCATTGAAATGCAGAGCGAAATCATCTTTCCCCCAGTTTGTAAGACCTCTAACAGGAGACTCAGTCCTTCAAGGCTAAGCAGGTGCTCAATGCCACACTGAAATCTCACATCCTTACAGGTAATACAGACCTAAAGTTCTTGGTAACAACATACCACTACACACACTTTCTCCAAAATCAAAGATCCAGATTATTCACTGGAACAAAGGAAGGAATTATCTATAACAAGTGGGATCCTGTTCTTAATTCTAAAATTATTTCTATAGCTTAAACTAGTAAAAATAAAAAATATTTAAACTCAGATAATCCTTAAATCTCAGACAGATTTAAAAACCCCCTGTTCATTAGTCTCAGCAATTTTCTTCTACTGAAAACTTTCAGCGACCTAAATATAAATAAACACACAGTAAAATGCCTCAAAAAACAGGGTCAGTCACTGGAAGCCACTTTTGCCAGCATCAGTTTATGCAGTCCATTACATTTCTTTCGCCATAAAATTTTATTAAGTCCTGGTAACTTTATTGGTTTCTGGGCATCATCAATTTTAATTACGGCTGCTTTTTGTTCTGCTGAGTTTGAATATTTTTAATCTATCCCTTTCATCTCCTTTTACCAACTAAATAAATCAACTTATTTTTTGTTGTAGTATTTACCATACAGTTGCAACTGTGTACATAAATTAAAATGTATTTTAAGTTAGATGAGAAAAAAATAAAGCTGAAGAAACTGAAGAAGGCTAATCATAAACAAAGAGAAAGCCTAATTACAAAGCTTACCATAAAAAAAGCCCCAAGCCCAAGAATAAGAACAAAAATCTTAACAATGGAGAAAATCATTGTTATCTTATTCACAGTCATATTTAAGCCTTTACACATTTCATAATACCTGTGTACCTAAAATACATATATTTGACCTTGACTCGTTACTTGGTCATTCCTAGGTTCCATAATATAGGCTGGGAGGTCTCAACATTCTACTCCTGAAGTTTAAAACTTAAATAAAGAAGGAACTTTTTCAATCTACTAAAGGCATTTTTTTTTTACTCTACTGTCCTTCTGCTTGGATTAAATATCCAAGATCAGCATAAAACCCCAAAACTGTCCCAGGTATTACTGCTATTACTCTTCCCTTCTGCTCATGTTGACAGCTATATGACCAGTGATCATACAGGTACACATAATATACACTACATTGCTGATTAGTATTTAGAAAGGCCATAAGGTACAAGCCATAAAGCATTGCTTGCAACAGCACTACCCTGTAAAGAACCTTCAGAACCAGCACCAGGTAAGCTGAACCACTGCAAATAATGTTGACTACTTTTCCCCAAAATACTCTAAGTACAGAAAGGACCTAAGCCAGCAACTGAGTTTAAGGAAGGCACGTGTCTGCAATTTCCTTCTCAACCTTCCGTATGATATGAAGCTGAGACACAAGAAGTCCCTTCAATATTGGCACATTTTTAAAGTTGTTGAATTGCTCGGACAACTGTGGCAAAACTTCAACTTTGTCCAAACCTAGAGGCTTGAATGGAATATGGCTTGAATGGAATATCTGATTTCCTACAATGGAAATCAGATATTTATTTTAAATAATGCCTATACTTAAGAAATGCTAAGTTTTGACAAATACTTAGGAAGTCCACTAAATTCTTAACTAGCAGTTTGCTTCCATTTCTAGCTTGAGCAACCAGAGGTAAAGAAATGAGGAGTGTGGGTGTGGAGAAGAGGCAGATATCCTGATATCTGCCTGGAACATCTCTGCCCCTCTCAGAGTTCCTTTGTTTTGGCTTGTTTTGTTTAGAGCTGCAAGAACTCTGCAAATGGGTGTTCCCAGCTTCTGGCAGCCATATGTGCTGCCTGCCATCTGTTTTCATTCCACCGCACTATGGAGACAAACACACTTTATTTTCAGTGTTCTGCATTTCCTGATGTTGCACATAATAAGGATTATATCTTAAATCCAACCCGCTATATGTGACAAATCTTCCAATGTTAACAAATGAGTTAAGGAGACAGATTTTCCTACAAGGCCAGATAAGATAATTTTCACTACTTACTTCTCATTGTAGGTTATATAATTTACACTGAAGTTTGTTTGGTTCCTGCATAGCTGTGCTCTGTACCTCTTCTTTCTTTCTACACTGCCTAGAAGGGGCTTCCTTCATGTATTTTAAGGATACATCTTCCCAGCAACTTCCTGGGGTGTAGGAAATTACTAAGCATTAAATGTCAAAACAGGATATGAAGAAATCAACAGCTGGACGATCAACTCTAGACAGACAACAGTGCAACAAATACTTGTTTGAAAGGTGGAATTCTGGGCACAGGCTCCCACATAGTTCTGTTGGAAACCATGCACCCCATAATCAGTTTGCAAGCATTAACTGGATAATGTAATATTTATGTAAACTTTTAATGGAAAAGATTTCACTGTTAGACCTCAGTGCAACCCTGGAAGGCACCCATGGGTGGCACAGTGGACAGCCAGCTGTTCTTCAAAATGTACCTAAGCTGGATTCTAGAAAACATTGCTGATTTTACCTGTATTAAGCCATATATTTCTAGGCAGCAGTATTTTTAATTACCTCATTTAATCTCCACCTTCTCAAACTTCTAAAAAGTTGAGTAAGCACTGACTTCTATCTACATGTGCCCTGATCACCATCTACCACTCACCCAGTACTGTACCATTGCCAGCAAACTTAACAACCATACTTTCAGAGCAGATTGCAGCACAGATCTTTCCACCATGTAATACTGCAAATTCAGGATACTGTAAATTAACATTAAACAACTGTGGATGAGGAATTACCTCTGGTTAAAAAAAAAATGTATTAAAACCTGGGCTGAAATGGAGATCAATAGAGGATATTAGTGCCTTTAAAACAATGTGTGAAGAGATTCAGAGTGTTCATTGTTTATAGGGTACTTCAAAAGACAACTGAACGAGTTCCATTTAAATTTTTCATATTAGCTCTATTCAGTATGGATTACCTATTAATTCTTTCCTAAAATAAGCACTTCTATTAATTGCATGTGATCTTTTAAATACAGAAGTACTTCTTCATTAATTAGACTGGCAAGGAATTTTTCCAACTTTTTAATTCATTCAAGGTTTTTAAAAATGGACTTCAATTACTTTACTGTTTTAAGTTATCTGCAGCTATCACTCTTCCCCTAGAGATTCTGACCAAAATTATGAGAAAATTACTTTATCTTACTACTTTTAGATATATTCTGCCTTCTGATTTCAAATTATCAGATGCAGTTAAGGAATTCTGCAATTCCTCGAGGTCCTCTAATGGACTGCAAAAACAATTTCTGCTTTAAAGCAGTAACTATTTCAGCTATCAAAATATTAAGTAGAAACAGTTTTGTTGACGGGTGGCACCTGAGTTGTCTTCCTTTTCCTTTTTTCTACCAAGGTAGTATCCATATTAGCCTAAAATACTCTTCTGTTGAGTTGCCACTCAAAATCTCAGAAAAAGTGTTTAACTGAAACCAAATACAGTAGTTTTAAATGGAGACTGGCAAATTCACTTTGCATTAGTCAAGCATTGATAAACATCCTTCCAGTGTGTACTCTTCCCTTCCAGTGTGTACAATACAGTAAGTACTCTGTCACTGTGTTAATCTGTATTGTAGGGGTGAGGCTCTTTTAATTCCCCTCATAAACTGTCCATTTACATTCTAAAGTAAAGTATATAATCCATCACATATTGTTCTGTCACTTCTGAGCTGCCATAATCTACTATTTGTTAAGATTCCATTGTTCACTGTGCATATGCAGTTTTCTAATAAAATCTGAATGGTTTTATATTTGCTTAGATTTGTTGAAAGGTCAGCAAACATTTATTTCAACATAAATTATTTTTGACAAACACTGGAAATCAATACAGAGGTTGGAAAGATCAGAAAGGAAGAAAAACTTTAAAAACACTGATCTTGAGAGCATCATCCTTAATTCTCACTTATTTAAAAAATAAAACCATAGTTTGAACTTTGTATTTTAGTTCTATATTAGAGTATCTCTTGTATAATCCAGGCAAGGCCTTCCTCACATTCTGATAAAGACTATCTAATCTGAACATTCACTCCATGTTTTATTCAGAGCACTGCAACATCTGATGTCGCCTGGATAGTATTTTTTATTATATTGATTGAAAATAAATGTAAACACTGAATTAACTAAACAGAAAAAAAAAATGTATATACTTTAACATCAAATTTGGGAAGAGTATTTAAAGCAAGTCAAGGCAACAGCTTAAAAGGATTTCAACCTACATGCCTAACTTGTAAAAGATTTATTAAGCAAATCCAAATTAATATTATTTAAAAAGTATTTATAATGAATAACCTATTTTTTCATAGAAAAAAATATGATGTTCTTACTCAGTTTTAAGCCTCAATTTCCTATCACAGGCCATGACAATTTTAGGTACATAATGAACACTTCTTTCAAAATGAGGTTATTTTCCCAGCAACCACCATGCTTCCAAATAGTTCTAGGTATTAAACACAGGTTTAATACTTAGACATCTAACAAGGAAATTTTGAAGCAATATTGAAATTAACTTAATTTCAGCACTTCTGGATACTACATAAAATCAATTTTTTAAAAAAAGTCTAAATTTCTAATATTATTTAAAACATTTTGAAATCATCAGAAGCATCTGTTATAATTGGAAAACAGAATTCAATCTGTTTTTCCAAGCAGATTATAAAAACTCAAAAAAACCAGCAAGCCAATCCCAAAATTCCTAATTAAAATCAATTACAATTACTTTGTGCTTCTATGATCATGTTTTGCTTTCTAAAAATTGTTTCCTTGTCATTGTAAAGTTTAAGAAAAGGGTACTTTATGGTTCAATCCCTTAATTTTTGTCTTTGTTTTTATAGCAGAGAGGTTTTCATTGTGATGTTTACCTATTCAATACACGTGCAGTTTCAAGTTGGTTTAATGGAAGCAGTGAAACAGGAAATAATCTGCCAGCAGAATGAAGAGGAATTGCCAACCAATCTTCATGTTGTATCCATGGTATAATTTCTTCAAGGAATCCAAAGTACACTTCTGCAGTTCAGATTCTCAGAGGTCACTGAGTTTTATAATTATTTCCAAGCAATTTTCCCCACATCCTGTTAAGCTCTCTCTAAACAGCTGTGTGTGTTGCCACGCAGCTTCACCATCCCCTCCATTCAGAACTGCTTCCAACATAACTTCTGTTGCTCCAGAAAAATCTGAATAGGAGCAAAGATTTTTATCTATTGGAGGAAAAGACAGATAATTCAGTAAGCCACAGCTCCAGACAGTATATAATAATAGAATGCACATTAAAAATGCTAAGCTGTAATAGATGTTTAATGATTTCAGTTGCAATACTCAGATTCATTTTCCACCAGACATAGAAGCATCTATCCTTCCTAGTAAAACACAAGTATCATATATTCACACTGTGTTCTTGCTTGCCCTGCCGTATTGCAGGTAGGACTGTGTATATTAATAAAACTGAGTTTTGTACCAGCTTTAATTACATGCACAGTATGTTCTTGACTTTGCTAAGAAATGCTGTTGGGAAAGTAAAGAATATTCATATTTTGTTTTTAGTGTTTGCACAGTACTCTCTCCATATAATATTTCCAGTAACACCTCTGCTACACGATATAATTCATTATTTAAATTCCACACTTACCTCCTATCAGAGCAATTTCTGCTGTAGGAGAGCGAAGTCTCCACTGTATTCTTCCACTATGAAATGTCTGACTGCTTGTCCTAACTGAAATGTTATCTATTTTTAGACCGACTGACTTGCACTCAAACTTCCAGCTGATGGAAGCAGAGGATGATCCTTCTTTTCGGGCTAAATAAACCTACATGGAAAGAAGACAACCAGCATGTCAAAAACTGAGAAGACCAACACACATCTAATTAATGCTCATAACGAGGACATAAAAATTTTAAGATAGCACATTTTCATTCTTTGTCAAGCCCCTGAATCTTTAAAACTGTACAAAGTACAATTTTATATTAAAAACCTCTTTCTTCATCCCCAAGTATATTCCACAGTTAGGTAATTGCACACATTTACAGGCCCTTGCTAGGGAACACTAAACTATTTCAACATCCATAGTAAAGTTCAAGCCACAAAAACACCTAAGCTTATTATTTTTTAAAGAAAGAGAATTCAGGGTCTTTTTAAATGCATGTATCACTTCAGTTGTTCAGTACTGCTGATGGAAAGAATGGTGCAATCAGCAGACTCATCAGCTGTGGCTGCACACTGCTTCTCCTAGGACTTGGATGTGTTTCTCAGTTAAAGCAAATCATACATGCCGGCCATTTATAAATCCCATATTAACATTATTTGAACTGTTACAACTTGGTATAATTAAATTTAGTCCCAATGCTGTCCTGAACCTGGCTGAAGAGCCACGCTCACATATTAACATTCATTAAAGTTACTATGAACCCTCTCAAGAATTTGGTCAGAAGTGCCTGACAGTTCTTTCAAGTGCAACATCTATCATCAGCAAACCTAAATAACAGACACTACAGTTTAAAGAGTCCAAATTACTGTGATCCTTTTGGAATCCTAAATTAATAAAAATTCTGTCATGTCCAAACTTCTGATTAATATCATACTGAGTGGACTTAGTCTGCTCCTTATTTTTTAATCTTGAGAGAACAAACCAGAACAAAATGATAATAAAACACAGTAGTTAGTTTTACTAAAGAACCCACCTAATATAGAAACGTAATTGACAGACTATTAAACAGAATTTTAGTATTACTATTTTCACATTGAAGTAAGCTAAAAACCCCTAAAGGTGTGAGGTCTTACACTGAAGATCACCTATGAAAATGTAATGATTTAAGCTGTTTTCATGTCAATGTAATCCTAATGTTCATTAAGGTGCTGACCTCCACATATTTTTTGAGTATCTCAGCTGGTTCTAGCAAGAGCTTTCCCTTGATCAGATCCTACTGAACTGCTGTATTTGAGGAAGCCAAAACACTCCATTACATACTACTTGTTGAAATGCACTAAACACAGTTTGAAACACTAGAAAAGCCTCAAACATTAGTCTGTTACATCTATCATTATAATATCCAAGCATTTAATCAGAAAAAAAGAACTTAAAAGTTTTCTTGTGTGTATTTTTTGACTTTCCTCTAACTTTCAAACTTGGTTGTTTTGTTTCTAGTATTATGTGAAAAATATCTGAATTCAGAGGGAAAAGTGTAACCAACCAACCAACTCATTCAATTCTCTTCCACTGCAGCAATTCTTCTGGAAAACAAGCCTTTCACCAATCCATGGATTTAAGAACTATAGGTTCTTACACTATTACTATCACCTACTGTGGTCTGCCAGTTTGAGTCCTGGATACCAGGTTATCTCTGGGGAATGTGACTGAATTTGTGGTTTGTACCTGTTTGCATTGTGTACCATAAAACCAAGTGATTATTTTCTGTTACTCTTCATCTAATACTTACAGATACATTTTCTGTGGCTTTTAGATTTAAATGCCTTTCCATTCATCACATAATAAATGTTAACCAAGTATTACTGTAAATGTTCCTTTGGCTTTTAAGTTGGATGGCTGCTGAATCACACTCCAAAGCTGCATCTCGTACTAAAAGAAAAGGCAAACCCCAAACAACCTTTCCCTCTGCTGTTATTTCCCATTATACAAACAACACCCAAAGGAAAGCAATTTTAAATTCTAAGATTCTTGCACACATTTTGGAGGATGCAAATTCCTGCAAAACTAACATGCCTTACCCACAAGTCTGAGGGAGACCTGGAGCCATAGCTCCTAATTTCTCAATGCCATCATCTCACCCTTTTGAGGTGTTACGGAATACAAGGGTAAAGTCCTTGTACCTGGTCTTATAGATTAGTCCCATCCTGTCTTATCTGATCAGTAGAGCTGAGAAAAACTGTAGTTTAGTTTCAGTGCAGGGACAACATGTTTCTTGCAAAGTGAGGATAACTGATCATTGCAGAAGTGCAAACATAATGTACTATCAAATTGTTAGCAGATCCTGGAGAAGCAGACAACATCTGTTCCTTACTCTGAGATTCTTTTACTTCTCTTTTACTATTAAGTCTACCCTGTTGTGACATCTTTTGTACAATTCTCCCATTTCTTTCCTTACTCTTTCGGGCAGCATAGCCTCCCTCTTCAAGTAATTCCCCCACTGCATTTTGCAAGTCAGTTATGTACAGACCCAGGAGAGAAAATCTCAAGAGGCAGATACATACTTAGCTCCATTTTTATCAATGGGAAGCTAGAAGAATATTTGGTCAGAGACCCTTCAGACTAGTAAAATGACATAGGAAAAAAGCACTAACATGCTCTAGTCCCTGACAAGAATGTTCAGTTCCACAGTTGGTCGATGCTGTGGGAAAAGCTGTTTGCTAGTACATGGCCCTTCCCACTCCACAGACAGTAATTCTCTTCTTAGATTTAGAGCCTATGACTCTTGTGCTGACACTATGGAAGCATTCTGGGCAGGGTATACAATATTCTGGATAACTGATAGGTTTTCCTCTTCTTGCAGATGGAATCGTATTATTTAGGATGACAATTTCTTCCGTTGGCTGTACATCAAAGAGATGATGATACGCTATAAAACTATTCTTAAAACAACAAATACCTTTTTTTATTTCCAGAGAAGTACTGCTTTTCAATAAAACACTATTTTCCCACAAGCCTAAGAAGGAAGCCATTTTATAAATTTGGCATTCTGGCAAGGATTTTGCCTACCTGCAGAGAATTCAATCATCCTTTCTGAAAGACAAGTTAAATTTATTTCTAATTTCTCATACCATCTGGCAATCTTACTGAATCTTAACAACTGCATTTACTAACATCTGCTAAATTCTATGGGCACCAAGAGAGGTTTGGAATCCAAACATTGGCAAGGGTTTTCTGTTTTACTGGAGTTATCATAATTTTACTGTACATTATAGGCTTTTAATAATTGCTATTCTTACCATTTTCCAATCTGTTTCAACCTTTCTCCAAATAGATTCTGCCTTCCAAACACCTGCTTCCCAGCCACTTATTTTTTCATTGTTATTGGAAATCCGTGTATAACTATCTTCTATTACATTGTAGACGAGATGGAACAGTTTAGATGTCTTCTCCTTTTCAGAGGGAATAAAAACTACTTCTTTTCTTTTCTGAAAAAGCAAAAACATACAAGCACCTTCATTCCCCAATGCCTAAATTCCCTCAAGACTACATTACTTTTAAACAGTTTGTCACGGTTTTGCAATTCAGTTTTGCTGCCAAGTGAAAAAAAAAAAAGGTCCTTTTTAAGAGAGGCTATGTACAAAACCATTTCTGCAGAAGAAAAGTTTTAAACCAGTTTCTTACAGCACACTTTCAACTTTTCCAGAGTGGAGGAGTACTTTTATTTTTTAAATTTTCAAATAATTACTTTTAGAAGTAATTTTTTAACATACTAACATGAAGTAGTATCATCTAAGTAAGAAATGAGAGTTTCAGAACAGAAAATTTTTATGCTGAGTATGTTGCTTGTACAGTGAATAAGTAAATGGTTATTCTGAATAGCAAACCTGTGACTACCATACACAGGTGCTTGTGTATGCCAGTTTACAAATCAACTTCAAAAAACTTAAAAGTACAAAATTTTTACCTTCACAGTATTATATTTTTTTAAGTAATTGTTCTTAAGAGTTTCAGAAATTAAGTCTTCCAAACAATAGAGAACTGCAATAAACTATTAGTTTCTTAAACTAAGACAATCTTAAGAAGCTCATTACTTTCACTCAACTATTTCTGTACAGGACAGTTAGACATTCCACATGATGGGATTGATACAAAATTTAAGTCACATCTTCACATCCTGACTCAAGCTAAGTATTATTATGCTTCTGGGAAACTGTATCTTAGCATAAAAGTCAACCCTTGCTTTTGGAAACAGTAAAAAAATACTGATGTGAAAATCAATAAGGCTTATTATTTAAGAGATTGCTTAATTTACACAATTCTAATTGCTCCCACATTTTATTAACAAAAATAGTTGGTCAAAACCTACTATTGGTTAAAACCTAGAAGTACCTAATAATACAAATACAAATTTTTTTTACAGTTTTCCCAATTTAACTAACTTAAACTTTCTAGCTCTGTCAAACTAACTAATTTAAATGAAAAAAAGTATTTTTAACTTTTAAGAACAAAAGACACTTTGTATCAAGAAGTCCCAAACATTATTAGAACAACACACCACCATCAATTCTCAAAAATTACTCGTGGACCTCTACTGAATTCACATCAAACTTTCACCTAATGTTTTTGCAAGATTGACTTATTTGAGCTGAATCTGGCTATCTACCATGAATTCTTTTTGTTTTTGGTGGGGGTTTTTTTGTTTGTTTGTTTTTTTACAGACCATAATCACAAATTCTTAGTTAGCTGCCTCTAAGATGGTCATCAGTGCAAAAGTTAAATACCTCTGAACCAATTTCACCTCTGGCTACTCGCCAAGCCATTGAGCCTGATGTCCTTCCACCAAATTCTCCAGGTTTAGGTGTTCTAGGAGAAATAAACTCAACAAGCTCCACAATAGTTCTTTCCAGGAGCTCTCTTTTTCTATTTTCTGACAAAGACTTTTGTCTCTGAAAAAAGACATTTAGGAAAAAAGAAAGCATTCAGAAAAATGGTATTTGTAATTCTGCTCTAGAGTGACACCAACAGGGAAAAATAGGATTGAAAAAATGGATTAACATTTAAAGTCTAGACTGATTGCTAGAGCCATTAATCTTATACCACAAATACAAATACAAAGTAGTCATAAGCACACAGTAACGTGACAGCAGTGTTTTCTCTAGGCACTTTCAGGCACTGTATGGAATTCTTTTAAAATAATGTTTGTGCTTTTTCTTTAACACATTAATTTGGATGATAAAACTCTTCCATAACAGTTTTCATAGCTATTCATATGTATACTGGACCATAGCCATTCTCAATATTATTTGGAGGAAAGAGAAGGCAAAGAATCAGTTGTGGTCAAATTTTTCTTCTCTAAGGTGCAGTGACTTGGTTGGCAACAGTTTTGGTTTTGTGATTAAGCCCAAACAAAAATCTTTGAAAGCGTTATTTCACTGATTTGGTCATAAACTAACCATGACATCTCTGTTTTTCAGATGTCAGAAAATAAAAAAAAACTTAGTTCCATAAAGATTAGCAAAAAATAAAAGAGAATTACATGTCTTTACCTACATGGATATATCTATGAGCAATTTTTTGGTAAGCAACTTTGAAAAAATTTATTGAGATGTCAGTATTTTGTCTATATGATCTTCATGTCAAATAAACAAATCTGGAATGCGAAGCCTTTCATTCTTTTAACTGTGGATAAACTCACATGGGGCTGAAAAAAGATCAACATTGAGTATCTGCATTATTACACACAGCATCTTTTTTTCTGCTTTGGTGATCACCCAAGGCATGCACACTCAGCCCACTGGGACCTGAAACTTGAGGCTGATAAGCATTTCAATTATCTCTAAAGCAGTTCTGACCCCAGCAAGTTTTGCTAATAGAGATTACACAAAAGAAACATTTGAGGACTTTTTATTCCAGACAACAATGTGGAACTGTATAAAGGAAAGTAGATACAGAGAAATGATGAGAAACAGGTCCAGCTGAACAAATTCCAGATGCCAAATACCAGTTCTAACACAGCAAGGGGGGGGAAACACACCTCTGCTTGTGTTGATGGATGACAACCAGTGGTTGCAGCAGTTTTCTATGAAACATCAGGCCTTCCTGAGTCTAACAGCTGCCCTGACACTTAGGACATCCCTATGCAGCACTGCTGATCTTGCTCCAGCTCAGAGGAAGCTTGATATGGTTTATCCTAAATTAGCAACACCAATCCACAATTTCCTTTAAGCACTTTGATGCTCTGGTTACTCTTCTCAGTGCTCTGCTCCGTGACTCTGATTTTTCATTACTGTTAAAATTATTTCAAGCCCTGGTCTCAAAATATTAGTCCAGCTCAATTATTCACAGTCTTAATTTATGGCTATAACTCTCAAACCAGCAGGACTCAAAAAAGGCTTAAGCTGTTTTTTAAGCCATCAGCTGTATACTACCACTGGACCTAAAGTTTCCATGCATGACAATTAGCCCTGTAAGGAAGGGAGGACAAAATAGAAACCTCAAGGTGGTTCAAGGTTTTATGGTATTCTAGTATATTGCATCAAGTTCCTGGTGTCCCAAGTAGAGAGTGGAAAAAGCTTAGCAGAGAAGTTCTGCAACCATGACATGCAGGTGCAAATGGCTCCATGCATTCTGGGATGTTAAGCACGAACAGTGTAAATACACGTGGCTCTGAGTCAAAGCTCTGCTGATGGTTTCAACACCTTTAAGTCTTGGAAACAGCCCATGAATAATTTCTCTCACTTCCTAGAGCTTGTAAAAAGTCATTGAAAAAAAATGAAACCTGCATTTCTTACAACTGTAAATGCTACTGTTTTCAAGTTATAGCAGTCCTGATGTGGAAAATGTTCAGTCACCCTGAAGGAGTCCACATAGTTACTAAGGAGTTGCAGTTTACTCCCAGCAAGTATAAGTCTGCTCCAAAGTCCCTAAGAAAAACAATAAATACACACACATCTGTGCATGTAAGAGATAATATGATAATACTCTTACATACCATTATTTATCAAATTTCCCATAAGTTCAGCACTGCGACTGACTCCTATGTATTCAGGGTAAAATGAGTAATTAACAGCATTTTTTATATCCACAGTGCATGGATATTCCTGTGAGGTTACCAAAAGCATTCCTTTGTTTGAGGACTTCACATATTCCTGCAGATACTTGTGTTCCACTCTCAGAAACCCACTGAAGCAAGGTTACATACCGTTTTATTTAGTGCATTAATTGTCTCTCGCAGCGTAGCTTCGCTGAGCACCGTCCTTCTAGAGAGTACTTCTTCATGTTTACTGCTGTATCTCCAGGTGACATCAACCACCTCAAGCACAAGCGGAAGAAAATAAAGCAACCAAAAATTTCCATATGTCTTGCTTCATTTAAAGAGGCTAGTTAATAAAAGTATGCTTTTCTACAATAATTCGGAAAATCACACCAAGGTGGAATACACTGCATGCTTGCTTCAGGGCAAGTTTGTTTATTATTAGCATCATTACTCCTACCTCATCTTTGGAGAATGCAATTATGTAGGAGAGCTTCTTTCCCCAGCCAGCTTCATAGAGAAGAGGCTTATCACACACATTTTCACAAGGATCACAGTGAAGCCATCTTTTCTGAGATGAAGAATATACTTCAGTCCACACATGATCTATGTAACAAAGGCCAAGAATAAACAATGATTTATAAAAATGGAGCCTCTATTCTAATCTTGCAGAATATTGTAACCTTTTCCAATTTATTAAATGAACAGGTGAAAGAGCATGTTTTCTGTTCATCTACATAGAGAAACTACCAAAACTTCCTCCTTCTTAGGATCAGACCCTTACATTCAGCTAAAGATTGTATCATTCTGAAATCAGTCATCTGACCTTAGCTGCAGAACTGTACTTCACCTCATCAGGCAGGACAGGAAATTGAATGTATATCATCTTTGTTGGCTGACTGTGTAACTGCACATGCTGCCTGATGGCTAATATGATCTGAGAGACATAAAATGCATAACCTCCTTTTGCACAGGTTTGTGTTAATGTTACAATACTTCAGAATACTGATACCTGTATGGTCCCAGACGTATCTTGCCTCAAATCCCACAGCTCTGCAGCACAGTGTAAAACAGTTGGCCCACTCGCCACAGCGTCCACGTCTGGTTTCCAGAAGTTTTTCAGGGTTGTTATACCTACAGGAGAAAAACAACACAAAACAAGAACAATTAAAAATACATTTCACCTTTCAGAAATCTTTAGATCGTGTTTTGATGGTCTGAACAGACTTCAGTATCAATCAGTCCACAGAAGATAATGGAAATAATTGCTATACTGCACAAAATACAAGAATGCTACCTCAACTCACACGACTCCATCATACGTTTATAGAAGCACCAAAACAGATCTGGTTAAGTTTCCAAAATTGATTTAGACATCTTAAAATGCTACTTTTATGCTGGTCCTTTAAACAGTTAGCAAAATGTCTAAATGCCACAAAAGTATAAATAAATTGTATATTTGGTCTTCTGCTATAGACTCAGCAAAAGATGTACACTATGCTGTGATTTTCTGCAGAAGTGAAGTTTTCCCTGCAATAACAAAACACTACCTACATATAGTTGCCAATATTAACATATTTTATTTAGAAGCTGTAGTTCATCAAATTAACATTAAAAAAAAACCCAAACAAGCCAGGCAAGTATTCAGAACAGGTCCACATAAGAGAAAGCATATATTGTTTTTAAAATCTCTGATTTTGCAGAGAAATTGCTGGTTCATCAAACATTCTATCATGTTACTTAAAACACCTTCTCTACTCTCTGAATTAACAACTTCTCACCTGTTCACAAAATGCACAAATACAAAGCTGTTTCTTGAAAGAAAAAAGGCAGCAAGTTTCTGTATGCCCACCTTGGGAATCTGTTACAGAGCTGACATTGGTTGCAGTAATGGTTTTCCACTCGTCTGGCATCCCACCTTAGATCATCATCAGTAGGCAGCAGGTAGCCACTTTTAGGCTCTGTCTGCCCACCACACCTGCTGCAAGGAAGACTATTTACCCAATGAAAAAAGGAAGTCTTAAACCAGTCCAAAAGCTCCAACAATAAGAAGTCCTCTTCACTCACATGTGCACCTGTAAAATTTATACAACACACAGTTAGTTCAAATGGAAAAGTAATTTAGTTGAATTTGTCAGTGCCTATGCAAATTAGCATCTCTGGGCCTTTATATAGTTATATATTTTTATATACTTTAAATATAAAATCCGTATTAAGAAGCTTTGTATATTACTTAAACACATACAAAAAAGAAAATCTAAATTGTCAAGACTGAGTAAGTTCAAACTTGAGAACAAAAAACTGCAGTACTTAATGCCACAGCTAGAATGCAAATAAAAAGTGGCTCAGAAAAAAAGAGTCAGATTTACATTTCAGTCTGGTGAAGTTCCTGATGTCCTTCATACTCTTCCAGGACTTTGGAACAGAGAGTTAATTATTTTTCTGCTCCAAAATATTATCCTATTCATAAGAATAACAATTCCTTTGATTTCAACATACCAAAGAACCAGACACTGGCAGCAACCTAAACAACCGGGGGTACAGGCTTTCTATAAACAGACCTACAAACACAGCTTAATTATTGTAGAAAATACATATATACCATGCAAACACGTTGAGTTTGTTCTAATTTCAGCAAATAAACACCTTTCTCAGCTTACCCAAGGAACACACAGGATGTCTTTTGTTTTCTACTCTAGCTGATTTCACCACACCAGACTCTTCTGGCTCATTTTCCTGCTTACAACAGGAGTTAGAATCTACTTACATATTCTCACTGTTCTGACACCTGGAAATAGCCCCATTTTACCTAAAAGACAAAATCTAAAAATCCAGCTTTTCAAGAAAGATCCATTCATTTAAACTCCTTAGAATCTTTAAACGCATATCCTGTTACAATATGCAGAGAGATACTCTTCCTTCTCAGATACATAAATATTCAAATAATTCTTCCAAATAACTTTATCACCTACGCCACACTGCAATCATAGGTATTACTGCCTGATTATTTTCGTGCACTACAGCTTTATTCTAGTCACAATGCAGACAGGTTTGACTAATGAATATTAACATATAAAAAAAATTCGTAAAAATGTTGCTAGAAGGAAATTGAAGGCAGTTGCACTACAAATTTATGCACTTTTTCAGCATGGTGAAAAAACCCCCTAAGTTCATTTCACATCTTCCTCTGAAGCTGTAGCCATCCTTGGTACAAAGGGCTCTGTAGGAGCATTAACGCCATTAAACACACATTGCATGGGAAGAGATCATCGGTTAATCAAAAAAGGAACACCCGACTTCTAATTATAGTAAAATTTCCATTTTTACTCAAGTATGTGGAAAACCTTTGTGCTGGAACACTCAGAGAAAGGCTCACTGCTTACAAAATGGATATGCTTGTATATTCAAACTTTTTGCTAAAATCTGAATGGAAAGATTTCAAGCACAGGCCATACTCTCTTTTCCTGGATAACAACACTCAAACTAGAACCCATCTGTGAAAATATGACTGCCATGCTATAAACATTCTTCCCTTGATTTGCAAAATAAATCCTTCATTAAAACATCACATGGAAAAATGACAAATGTGATTTCCTTGAACAATAAACAGTTGGCTGTGATACACAGATATTTCTGACTGTTCAGTCCATCTTTCTAATGAAATGTGGCAAAGGGAAATAATAAAATCAAAGCTATAATTCTCATCAAATGACAGTTATCTTCCTAGTCTTTATGAGCCAAAAATGCTCATTATGCGTTGCATTGCAAGGCCTATCCTAAAAACAAGTGTCCCCTAGCACTAAGTATTTATTCCTAGAGGTGACAGTCTTAATGCAGCAAGAAACCAAGAAGCTGAAAACCAATTACCCAAACATCTCATGCATAGTCCATTCCAAAACACATGTTTCTATAAAGCTCTTGAAAAATGCTTTCCCATGGAATCCCATCCCTTCCCCTTCATCTGTATCTAAATTAAGGTCTGGAAGCCATTTTGACTAAATCAGCCTGATGGTTTGGGAAGAAGCACTCAGGGCATTATCCTCCCCCTTCCTTCCCCTTTTTAAACAATGTGCGCAGTAGTATTAAAACAGAGTCCAAGAGGCAGGCTTGTTCTTGATTCTTTTCCTTTATAAAGAAATTTAATACTTGTAATTTATTACTGCTAAATCTCTTTTCCCCAATGTATTGTCCCATGCTGCTGAATAAGAATGCTTTTCAATTGTTCACATGGTTTCTTACTTCCCAATACAGTTTTATAAAAGAAAAATTACTAAGAAAATCCATTGTCAAAAATTTCCTTAATGCCAAAGCCACAATTACATATTACTGTGTGGCTGTATGAGACACCACATAGTAATTTATAAAAAACATTCAAAGAGATTTTTTTTTTTGTTTGCAAACCAACAGCATTCCTATAAATTTAGCAGAATTGCTTGAAACAGTCTTCTATCAAAGATTCATGGTGAAAATTATTTTTTTGTTTAAATATGATCTTGGAATTGTATTTTTAAAAATATTTATCTTATAGAAGTAACATTTTACCGTGCCACTGAAACAAATCTAAAACCATCACCTGAAAATAGAAATATGTCATTTTAATTGACAAAAACTTCATACATTCAAAACAAATTCACATTTATGAAGAAAATATAAATTTTAAACACTGATGCTACAAGTATTTATGCCTACATTTCATATCTAGCTCCATGAGGAACAGGGTATAACCCTATTCATTTAAGGATTAGGAAGGAAAGTGATCATTTGTTTGAATCAGGTTGCATCTTGGAAAGATCTCATTCAAAATCTCACCAATATAATTTTAAAAAAGAGAAGTGGTATTTAAAGTTTTTATTCTGAATTTAGAATCATAGTACATACAGGAAAACTGCACTCTGAGAATTTCACAATAATGACTACTTGAACAAGAAGCTCCCCTCCTCTCCTTGTAGCTATTTCACTTGAGATTCAAGGAATGCAACATTTGTTTCCCCAGTGCTTTTTTCTACTAATACAGAAATTGAGAGTCCAAAATTTCTACATAAGAGCAGTAAAAGACGGATGACAAAAGTGAAATAAAAATAAGAGAAGTAAGCAGTAAATTAGGAAGAAGGCAATTCCAATTTAGAAACAGCATTTGGAACCTGCAGACATATGACCAAAGACACACCAACAATGTATGCTATGTTTGAAAGAACATTTCCACTTTCATAGACACTTTAACTTGGCAGCATTACCTTTATCCAGTCTTGTAGCTTGTGCTAGCTTTTTCTGAGCTTTGCTTTTCAATTCCTGGAGGGGAATTGCAGCCAGTGCTTTTTGCTGAATAGAAGGATTCTCATACATCAACACAAGACCCTCAAATTTTGTCTGAAGTGTTTTCAAGATTTTTGCAGCCTGCAAAAGGATTTTCAATCACAAGATGATTTATGAATTTTCACCTTTGTGCAGAATAACCAAGATCTCCTATTTTAGTTTAAGTCAGTCATAATTCTATGTTCATATTTACATTATATATTTATTTACGGTGAAATGTTTATTTGCAAAGATATCAACAAGAACTGAAGACACCACCACTCAATCTGTAAAGCTAGTCTTGCTGTCTCTGAGCATTCTGAATGGTGTCTTGAGTGAAAAATCAATTAACTTAGGGAGAAAACTGCTTTTAAAGACACCTTTAATGGGAAAGTCTTTGACTTCTCTTCCCCACCTAATCTCCTCCTCCTTTCTTTTGGACTGTTTACCCAAAATCCACAAAAAGACATGCAATCGCTTCCATTTTCTGGACACTGCTACACTGGTTTGCAGAACTATATTATTGATGAATTCTGCTTATTATTTCTTATTCATGAATGTTGCTTGTCTGTCTCTACTTCCTTCTTTTATAGATCAGTTCTGGTAGAGGTTTATAGAGACAGCCCAGTAGCCAGCCACTGAACCACACAGTTTCAGGAGCAACTGGATAGAAGAACAAGGTTTCCTTCAGTCAGTTATCCTAAGTGTCACCTAGAGGCATGTTGCACACAGTAAGGTACAACATAGATACCAAAACTAACAGCTGAGGTTAATAATAATGAAGCTGGTAGCTGAGTAAACCATTTGTTCCCATTTAAAAGGGAACAATACAGAACGTGAAATGGGATTTTGAAAGTAAGAGTCTGGCATATTTTTGGGGGAAGCCTGTGGCACTGCTAAATTACCTTTTCTCTATTGTTACATCATGCTTCAGCCTTTAGCCTCGTTAGCTGCAATTTTAAGTTAATCAAAAATGCAATGCTTTCCTGAGAGGCTTGCAGCAAATGCAGTATCATACACCCAGGTGTGAGAATGCTTCAGAAGAAAACTTCTTTTAAAGGAGCACTCAAATTACAAGTGCTTGTTTTGATGCTGTTACAGTACTTCAGTATCAGTCCTTAATTTTCATAACTGCTAAAACAGAACAGAGCTTGTTTTGCTTTTCCTGGAGCTCATCAGCTGTAGGTAACTGGTTTAACATCATAAACTCCATTGTGTCCAGATTCATTTAATGCAAATTGAAAGGAAGAAATAAGGGACATTAGAGACTGCCAAAGGCCTTAAGACCTTCATGGTCCATCAGCTTCCTGAAAGGGTATGCAGGGATATTGCTCAGCACAACAGGAAGTCTCCCAGACTCTCTGACAACTTGGGTTTCTGATGCAAAACCATCGGTGTTACAGTAGTGCTTAATCTGCTTTATAAAAGCCACCGTATGAAGTGTTATGCAAACATTTAATCATAGAAGCCAGGTGAACCTTGCTGCAGTTCTAAGTTTGGATACACCTTTCCTCCTGTAATCACTATGCCATTCAGGAAGGGATCAGAATCCATCCACCAGAATTAACAACTAGCCATAGCTCTCCTTCTCCTAAGTCTCAAGGATATTTTATGACAAGAAATGCAGAAGAAAACAATGAGGCAAATTCATGGTGGGCTAGGTTCCTAGAACTGTGTATTTACGAATATTCCTCTGTTCTTTCAAATAATTTGCTTTTCCCTGCATTTACCAGGCCTCCCATGAATGACAGGTGAAACACACAGGCAAGAAAAAAATGCTTGCACTACAGACACAACTCTAAATCTCTCTGACATGTGTCAGCAGTGCATACAACAAAAACACAACTATAACTCTTCAGCATACTCACTGGAAAACAAATCCCCACTGCTGTGCAAGCAAAATGGCCAAGTCAGTGCCAGACTTCCTTCTAATCAATTCAGACTATAAAGACCAAATTCAGTGGCTCAGAGACCTATCAGTATAGTTCCCTGTAGAGATCAACTAAATAGAGCATTCTAACAGAGTGCAAACACTGCATTACTAACGCTTCTAAATAGTAGTAATTTTGGTCCCACCACCCAGGCATGGAAAATGAATAGTTTCAGAGAAATGGATCCACAACTCTGATGGCTAGTGTATGTTGGGGCAGAATAACTAGAAATTGGAAGGATTAACCTCAGAACACATTGTGTCAACATTGTGCAACATCGTTGTCACTGCAGGTTCAACTTAAAGCTTCCCTTACTAAGCAGTACAGCAGCAGCAAATCACTCTACAGGTTTCATAATCGCTTCCAACCACCACTGCAGAAGTGACTGAAACAGTAAAAATCTAGAAGCTGGTCAAAAAACCAACCCAGAAACCTCCAAACAAAGTAAAACAAATCCAGTCAGCATATTTTAGAGACAACTACTGCCATGCTAACATAATTAGATTAAATGTCTCAATACAACATGCCTACAACAGTGGTTTTCCCAAAAGACCTTTTGTGTGAGGATGGCTCATTCAGTGCTCTCTATCCCCAAAAGCCATCACTTCAAATAATGCTTTGCCATTTCTCATTCACTGACTTGGGTAGGCATTGGGAAGAAACAGTATGTCATGGTTCATATCCAACAATATACTGATAATATAATGTAAAACATGCAAATTGTGTTTAAGGATGCATGGCAAGTGAGCTTTTGGAAGGATTAATCTTACACCAACTTTGAGATTAAAGTGACACTGGTTCTAGGAGGAAAAACTCTTCAGAAAGTTAAACCAAAGCATCCTTAAAAGCTTCTATCAAGAGGTGTAACTTAGTTTTTCAAAGTTGTATGAGGTGGTGAGTCTTCTCCCATTAGGCCAGTTAACATCAGATGAAAGGACTCTGCTCTGCCTCGATCAGGAACTTCACCTCAACTTCTTGGACAAGGGAAACTTAGCCTAAATAACTATAAATTTGTCCTTGTTTGGCTAAATTTCCGTTTTTAATGACAGGCACATGTGAAAAAAGAAAGCCCTCCTCACAGGCTACACACAGAGATCATAATGCATGAACCAAGACAGCAACAATTATAAGCATTATGGTTATGCTCCTCTTCTGCCGGCACTCAAACACCAAACACAACCCTAGTTTTAGCTTCCCACTCTCCTCCTTGTTTTCCATCTTGCTGCTCCTTTTCAACACATATCAGCTTTTTTTCTTCATACTCCGATCAACAGAATATTCATGGACATCTTCAACAAAATCTCCTGCTAATATTCTGTTTATAGCACATTTCATGCTTAAATTGTATGTAAACTGAAGAAAACACTCAAAAACTTTCAGAAACCACTGGGGGAAAAATGCCTAGTCCAACCTTCTTAAACAAGATTAGCTATGTGGTCAGACCAAGCTGCTCTAGGCTTAACAATGTGCTTATTTGGAGTCTACTCATTTTCTCTGAGCATTTAACTGTCCTAACAGTAAATTCTTCTTCAATCTTTATATGCAAGACTAAGGAGCCTATGAAGTTTGCAGATTATAATTACCATTTCAAGAGATTGCACAAGTGATGTTTCTGGTCGCTGATGGGCAGGGGCAACAGGTCCTGAAGGGCGCTGTGCAGCTGTCTGAGTGCTGCTGACAGCTTCAGAGGATCCTGATCTGTGCATTTGGTTTGACTCATTCAGTCTGCTACTCCTCTCTCCAGCAATTAAGTCTCTGATTTTACGTAGCTGCTCAATTGAAGCTTCCTTAGGGAAAACCAGGTGAGTTTCTCCCTGAAATTTAGACAAGTGAATTCAGCAGTTAATGCACGTCTAAGCTGGTCAACGAGCTGTAACTTTAGCTGCAGAGTTTCCTGGAAGTTAGCATCCCAAGGCTTGGCAGGATTCAGCTTTTTAGATTAGGTCCCTTACAATAGAAACTTGAAGCCTCTCACAACTTCAGAAGCCTACTAGATAAAGAATCTAGAGTCAATCTAGAGAAACAGGGCTTATACCAACATGCTTCGGTTAGTAACTTATTTTGTGGAGCCATTCATGGGCTGTGCAGTTATGGTTTGGCACAGAAAGCAGCAACAACAGAAATGAACAATCAATGCTCAGTTCTCATGGTACAGTAATTAAATCCTAGTCAACACAGGAAGACATCCAATCTTGAGGGAACAAGCCCCTAGGACAGCATCTGCTGGAAATTCTCATACATAGTGGTATCTTATATGTTGAAGTTTTAACTTCTCAGATAGGCAATATTACTCTTATTACAACTGGTACCTGGGTTGATTTTTGGGTTTTATTTTGGACTGCAACATGATTACTGGTAGCATAACAAGAGATCAGTAATTATGACAGAATCAAGTATCTGTGCTTAACATAAAGGAACAGGTTACTAAAAACATGAGTAGCCTGAAGCATTCATCCTTTAACAGTTTCAGTTTCTACCACTGCAGCACTACTATTTATTAAGGTAATTTGTTTACCTACAGTTACTTGAGGTCACATATCACTGCAGATGGAGACTTGGTGTTAACACTTAAAAAAACCACAAAACTAAATGGAATGTATCAATCCCTTATCAAGCAGAAACAAAAGTAAGAACAATATAAGCCATGCAGTTGAAGACAAGCTTGTGAGCTCCAGCTTTGACTGACACAATAACCGCAAAACTGAGGCAACACACTCTCAGAGAACTGCCCCCACTGACACCACCCACCTCCTGGTTAAAATACACCATTCAAAGCCTCCTGAGCACCCGCATAAGAATAAATCAACAAACCATTTCTCCCTCTGCAGTCACCACTTCTTTCAGTAGACTTTTTCTTTTAATAAAAAAATTACAGTAGTAACTTTACCCAAAGAGAAGGAAGAGGTCTCATGACAGCTGAACCTAAGTAACATAATGTACATACCCATACAGTTTGTGGCCTCAAACAGACAAACTGAAGCAAAGCAAGAACTTTGCACCATTAAACAAGAGTTAGGTTTTCAGACCAGCTTTCCAGTAATTATAAATACTGCTTCTGGTTTAACAAGCTCTGGCAGTTTAAGTTCCACCAAGACAGGGACCACCTCAGAACACAAAGCAATCTTTGAAACGCATCCTTCTGATTGCAACAGAATCAAGATTCACGCAACACTATTTTAGGATAACATTTCATAACTTTTACAAATGGGCTTTGAAGGACTCATCCTCCTACTACTACTTGAACAGTCGGTCTATTGCCCTTCACTGCTGTCATGACAACACCAGTACTTGTGCAGCTGCGCTGTAAACTGGCTGAAAACATTTCTGTTTTCGTTTTGGAAGATTAAGTTTTCATCAGATCAGCTTCCCTTATCTAAATCACTACAGGGCCCTACTAATGGTAGGAACATGAAGAAGAGTAGGGCTTCTTAAATTTTTTTTCTCCCTTTAAAATGACAGTTTCAACACTCATTTATAATGTCTGATGTCCACCAAACATTTTTTATTACAAAGAGAAGGGGTTTCCACCCTGCTTCCCACCTCTTCCTTTGTGCCAGCATGGATATGTATCTAGCCATTCAGTAAACCAGCAGTGCCTGAGCAGCAAAACAAGAATCTTGTTATGCATTAGGTTAGCTCATCATTTTTCTGAAGCAGCCACATCTAAATTCTCTGCTGGTTAGCTACAGATATTTGTGGACAAGGACTGAAAGAAAACACCAACTGCCCTAAAATCTATTGCCTTGCAACTAAGAGAAATAGAAAAAAAATCCAATTTTCAATTTCAATATGTAAACAGATGAAGATACCTGAAGTTATTACATTATACTCACCTCTTGAAACCCCATCTCAAATAAACATTCAACAGCTCCTCTGACAGGCAACAACCTTGTAGAAAATGCTGGATTTCCAATCCGAATTAATCTGTATTTTTCCTCATAGGGATTCCTGAACAAATTGAAAGTTATAATTATATCTGCAAATGAAGGAGACACTTAAGAGCTGGGTAACAGCCCTATGAAAGATTTTTAGTTTAGTTTAGTTTCATTTACATCACTTAGGCAAAACCTACACAAAACTTTGACTTTATATATGTTTTTTTGTACTTAGTTCTGAGTTACCAACTGGCGCTAAAGTTTAGCTTGCAACTTATGCTCATGAATTCATGTTTTGTAGTGATACCCAAAAGGGCTAAGAGACAATTTCACATCCCCTTATAGGTGGTGCATTCCAATTGAACCTGCCAGATTAATGCTGGATGGCTTTGGCACCACCACGGAAGCTGTGCTAAACTGCCTGGTACTTGAGTGGAACGACTGTAGTCTCTGTACTATCTTTCAGTTCCCTTTCCTCTTTCAATTCCTTTAAAAACCTTTTTCTCTCGCCTCTTTCTTTAAAAGAAGCTAGCCCGGGACTCGCCATTCTCTGCCAGCAGCTTTAACAAGTGGTTGACGAGGCAGACCCAGCCAGGGAGGGGCAGCCCGTGCACCTGGAGCTGCCGGAGACACCAAGGTCAATCACACGAACTGCCGAGTACAGGCACCCGACAGAGCCACCTCGCAGAAACTCAGCTATAATTAACTCTCGGTACCAACCCTGCGAAGTCAGAAGCACAGGGCACACAAAAAAATATAATTTAAAAAATCAAAATGAAGTAAAAAATAAGTTTAAATCAAGTTGAATTACTTGCTGTGCATCCACTTGTTTTTAGGTAGTTCAATACCCACCTAAGGTGGAAAATCAGGAATAAGGCATCATCTTGTGGTTAATATACAAACTCCTAAACTTCCAAAACAAACCAATCAGCAATAAATAAAGAAACTGAAATCCAGAACACTACATCTCTGTTAATGTAAGCAACATTAATTTTAAAATAGCGACAAAACCACGCGAGACGCTTCTGAGCTCCGGTATTACACAACAGAACCGAAGGCGCCGCGCGGAGCCGGGGAGCGGCCGGCGGGACCTGCGGCACCGCCCGCGGACCGAGGGCGGCGACCCCGCTCACCGGAGGATGTTGTCAGCGTAAGTGAGGAGCAGCCGCGAGGCCTCCAGGAAGATCTCCCGCCTGTTCTGGCACAGCTCGCTCACGGCGGGGGAGCCCGGCGAGGACGAGAGCCGCAGGGCGGCCGCCATCGCTGCCCGCCCCCCGCGCCGCACCGCCCCGCCCCGCCCCTGCGCCAAGCGCATGCGCCGTGCGAGCCCCGAGGTGACAGCCGGGCAGCGCCGCCCGCCGCTGAGCGCATGCGCAGTAGGAGCGGTGGGGTCGCCGGCCGCAGCTTCCGCGCCCACAGCCGCGCTTTTGGGGATTTGGGGGGACCCTAAAGAGCCCCCCTTAAAGGGTTTAATCCTGACCCCGCACCCCCCTGGGCAGCGGGACCTCCCGGCCACACCGGGCCCTGTGTCCCGAAGCAGCTTCTTTCGCCCGGTGTACAAGGCCCCAATCCGCAGGTCGAGGTATTTGATTTATTTATAGATGGGCGCAGAAAGGAGTGCACAAGGCCAGCACGATGACTACCAAAATTTATCACTATTTATACATTCTAGCAAACAAAGGCATTCATGTTCATTAGATACAATTACACAGTTCTCTTATTAATAAACATGCTATCTTCTATTGGTTAAATTATTCCTTGACTTCTTAAGCTTGTGAAAAACGCCAATCACTTGTTTTTAAAATTTTAAAAGTTTAATAGTAATAAAATGGTTATAAAATAGTAATGCAATTAAAGTCATAATAATTTGGACAATTTGAATTAGGACAATATGAGACTATAGAAACAAAGCATTACGGACGTCCGGGTACATTTTTCTGAGCAGCATAAGCCCGAAAAAGGGTGCGCGTTAACAGAGGATTAACCCTTAAAAACAATAGCCTGTTGCATATTCATACATCTCATACATGATGCATAACTTCCATTCAAATACAAGATTCTGTCTGGTCACCATCAACTCCTTCCTCATAATCCTGACGGTGTCATTCTGCCCGAGCAAGGTGGGAAGAAGTTCGTTTCTCCTGATAATGGAGCAATAAATTCTCTTTCTCTGAAAGATTTAGGTGTCCTATGACTGCTATCTCAGTGTGAGTCCTTTCTTTAGAAAAAAAAGTATCCTACATAGCATAGTTTCTATTTTAACATTTTGTAATAACACTATATTTAACACACTACTTAAGAAAATTATTACAGCATTACTTTCTAACACAACACATGTAATATTCATTCTAATATTTGCGAAAAGCCAATCATAAAATACACATTTTTCCCATGCTGATTATCCAACATGCCCATTTTTTCTGTCTAGTCGATGGTTGCAAACTCCCCTTGCCAGAATTACCTTTTATCCAGTCAGAGCTGATCCCAGCACTGGTGCCGAGTTGGCTTTGCTAGTTTCTTCCTTATCTTGGGAGTTCTGCCAAATGTCCTTGCGTCCAATAAATTCCTCATTCTTTGTGCCCACTGACAGTGGTACATCCTTCTTCCCAAGCTTTGTAAACCTCCACCTCTTTGAGGTGTGATTTCACTGAAACATCTGCAGCCCTAAAAAAGCAATCTGCCAACAAGCAATTTGTCTTTCTAACACCTGCACATAACTCAGAGCTTGATTACATCTCCTTTCTGGTCGATTGGGCTTGAAAGTATACAAAGATCAAAGAACATAATTTCTTAAGACAATGTTTACCTATTCCATATTTTTGCAACATCGGGAGCCCCCTGGCAGGCAGTAACGTCATTAAGGACATAAATCCATTTTTGTAGTGCCCTGGTTTGACTGTACTGAGGGTGCCACACCTCCAGGTCCCCAGGGCTGCCTGAGCAGGAATGTCACTGCAGTGACTCGCCCTCAATGTGACATCTGCCCTGCACTGCCCACAGTCCGTCCCAGAGAGGCAAAAACCCCCCTGGTCTTCTTCTAGACGTCTGGTTTGTACTGCTACTGAAAGAGCTGTGATGAAGAACCTTGGGCACAAAGACCTGTGGAGATTTGCTTTACCAGGAATGCAGGTTTAAAGAGTTCCAAGCAAGAGAGGTCTTTAAAATTCAAGCTGCCTTCTGATTTTGTAGGTGATATTACACTGTGGCTCTGCTGCCTGCCTGTGACAGGTCCCTGCTCAGCTTCTCTGACTTTTTAAAATAGGGGCACATATCCCTCACAAAGGCTGAGATTTAACACAGGGCACTTCGCTTTTGCTGAGATTACATTCATTATTCTTACTAGCATAGTTAAAGTGTTACTAGTTCAGCCCTCAGGAACTGGTACCAAAGTAATAAAATTTTAATTTAAAATGATGCCATATTCCTTGGCTGCTACTTCAGCTTTTAATTTCCTTTCCATGTGTTTCATGTAGGCATGTGACTTTCAATGTTGGCTGCCTTAGGAAATACTATAGCAATTTACTAAATTGCTATACATGCATGCACATAAATACACAATGCATCTCAGTATGGCATTTGTAAACAATGCTTTGGAAGTGCTCATAGGCAAGCAGTGTGAAAAATTTAGAAAACCAAGTGCCAACTTCCAACAAATCGCTAACACATTAAATGCCCAAGGAATTTTATTTCTAAATTAAAACCAGATTCTTCATTTTTAAAAAGTGCACATATGTTTATTTTTTTATTTATTAAATATTACATTTATGTCCTTTTTGGCTTTTTTTTTTCCTTTTTCCTGCTGGTTTGGATTTTTAGGTAGCTGTGTTTGCAGCTAATAAACATTATTTTGTTGTGTGCCAGTAAGTTCATTTCAGTTTTCTTATTGCTGTTTACTGAAACTATATAGAGATATAACAAGCAAACTCACACTGTAACTAATTCATGTCTCTGTTGATGGGAGTTTGACAAATATTTATGCTCTGCCATGGTAGTCTGTCCAGGATAAGGAGAGACTTATTACTCCACCAGAGTTTGAAGGATTTTAGGGGGGTTTTGTTGTGGGGTTTTTTTTTTTTGTTTGTTTGTTTTTTTAACTCCTCCTTTGCGTGACTGAGACACGTGGCTTGGGAAGGAAATAATTTCACTGCCTTTCCTGGTTTCTGGACAATTCACACGATCGCGCTGCCCGCCCGCCCACAGCGGCGCCCGCGGGGCGGGGCCGGGCGGCAGGAAGCGCCGTGGACCGCGGGTCCGCGCGCTTCTCCTTCTTTCCCCCCTCGCCTGCAGAGTGGTGCGGCCTCGCCACCGTCGGAACAGGAGAGGGAGGCAGAGCGAACCATCGCCGGGCGGGGGGGACCGCGGCCCGCGGAGGTACCGCTGAGGGCTGGCGGAGGGAGGCGGGGGTTTTAGCCCGGGCCGGGGGGGGGGGGGGACGCCGCCCCCAGCGGGGCGGGCCTGGCCGGCAATGGCGGCGCTGGGCGGTGTGGGGGAGCTGGGGGTTGGCTCCTGGTTTACACATCAAAAGTAGTCATTGCCCTTGAAACACCTGGGGGTGTTCGCTAGCGCTTGTTCCCGGAGGAAATTATCCTGCGCCTGGTTTTCCCGCACAGCAGGTATCGGGCGGTGTTGGGTCTGACAGGACGGCTCGGCGCTGGCTGACGGCATTTCAGTAAAGGCTGCGTGAGGCTGCGGGACGAGCAGCCTTACAGAGCTCTGCAGTCATATTGTATATGCATATGGATATATGTACACTGATAAAATGTGCTGTCTTATACATTATTATATGCGTGTATAATAATATGTATAAAATACATTATCTTACACATTGTATATGGTATACAATATATATCATCTAGTGTATCTACAGAATATATGTAATTACATTATACTCTATAAATATGCATATAATATGACTACAGATGTGTTTTATGTTGTATATTATATATAAAATATTTATATATGTAACTTGTATTATATAATGCATACAATATTATGATATATCTTTTTATACATGAACACACACATGCTACCTCTTTTATAGAGTCTAGGCTAAATGATGTAAAAAACTGAAATGGCAAATTTGGGTCAGGATTTAAAAGAGACTCCCACAAAAATACTTTTTTAATAATTAAATTTAATCTTTGCATAAAATATGTATAAAATATAATATGTGATTGTTTACTATTTTTATTCCCTATCCCAATTGTTCTTGGCCAGGCTGGATGCTGGTCTCTGCTGCCTGGTCTAGTGAAAGGTGTCTGGACCCGTGGCAGGGATTGTTGGAATGGGATGATCTTTAAGGTCCCTTCCAACCCAGCCTTTCTGTGGTTCCATGACATTTTTTAGTAATGCTGCTGTGCACTTGTGCTGCCACAGGTCTGGGTATTTTAGCAGGAGTGCCCAGCAGCCCCTTATGATCTTCATACAGCTCTCTCCATTTTACTGAAGAGCTGGCGATGCCAACTTGCTCTTTGGACAAGGCAAAAAGCAGGCAACCTGTTGCAGCCTGTGTTGTACGTGTTGGCAGAGCTGTACTGCAGCCTCTGCCCTGCTCCAGCACGTCAGATGTGTGCAATCAGACTGGCTCTGGACTACGGCACAGTACAGCACCATCGCTGCTTGGCATAGTCCTCTGGTCCTTCCTCAAGTACTTGTTCTCGGCAGAGGCCTTCTGAGATCATTTGCTGTGCCTCTTGTGATGAGGGGTCTGGTCGTGTTGCCTGCAAGAGAGGTGGTGCTGTGTTCCACATCTTGCTCCATCTACTGGTGATACTGTCCCCTGACAGTGTAATAACCCAAGGCTGATTAAGGGTTGGTAGAGGTGGAAAGAGAAGGAGTCTTGTCCTAGATGTGTAATTACATTAGTAGCAGAACCAGGACAAGTTCATTGACTCCTCTTTGATGTTTCTAGACTGTTCTGCCAGACATGAAGGTTGAGATGATGATATCCTCAGCTTGGGACACACACTTTCTGGTGAACACACACTTTTTCCCTTAGAAGAGTGAAGATGTTAATGCTCATTGTTTCTGCCTCCAGTCAGCTGGTGGTTTCTCCAGAGGAAATTTTGCAACAAAACCAGAGTGCTTCACAGTCCACAGTGGTGCTGTCATATTCATCAGCAGCTTAAGCTAGAAGAGCTCACTAGAGGCATTCCCAAAGTGAACATTTCTTTGCCATTATCTGCCGTAACTCATACTATTCCTCATTACAGACACAGAAACTATATCCATTTCTTCAGGGTTGAGAACAGGCTGTCAAGTAAAAATCAGGTTATTAGTT